TCCCCACCTACCGATGGCCGCGGGCATGGCTGCTGCAGCATCAGCGTCGGGAGTCATGGGGTTGGTGACGCGGGAGGAGGCGCACAGCCTAGTAGCAGAGATCTTCCGAGAAACTGCAGTGCTGTATCTCAACTCGGTTTTGAGTGAAGCCTTCCCTGGTGAGCACCCGTTTGGCCTGTGATACACCTTCAGAGACTGATAAGACTTACCACAGGCGTGCCAGAGACGAGTGGTTCCCTGGGGAAGCTCGTGCATCTGCTTAACCAGCTTTCTCCATCGGATTTCGACCGCGCTATCGTCTTCCCATTGTTCCTCATGGGCTGCATGTCAGAAGACCCGGGGTGGCGCGAGGGTGTGAAGCAGCGGTTGCGGTTTTTAGATGATACCTTTGGGGATATAGCGCGTATTCTTAAGCAGATGGATGACATCTATGAGGAGCGCATGACGCGACAACATGGGAGCCACCCCGTACAGTGGCAGGAGTACTTGCGCTCGCACTGGGCGGTCTCGCTGCTACTGTAGCATTGTGGTGTATAAAATAGCGCGATGACGAAGTAACTTACATGTCTGTATTACTTTCCACTCTACTCTGTTTGTCATAGCTGTATTTTGCTGCATGATTTACCATGCGATAGGTTATAGATTACATTAGTTACGGAGTTCTCTAAAATGTATAGATATCTCACCGAGATGGAGTGGGTGCGAGCCTAAACACATGGACACAGGCGAAGATGTGGACTAGGAGAAAAACAGGAGTGACGCGTGTGCAATGGGATCCTTTAGAATGGGAGAAAATGAGGATGATTGAGGTCTAACAAGAGTCAAACTGATATCGAGAGTGCAGAGTTGGGCCGATATCGGGACCAACGTCGACGTAGCAGGACGGGGTGGATTGGGATAAAAATTGAGGCGGAGGAGGAGGGGGGACGAGGAGCGTGCGGAGAGCAGTGCTGCAGGCAAGCTATGCAGACGAGGGAGGAGCAGGAGGAGGGCAGGGAGAAGGGGAGGGAGGGCGTCGAGAGAGACGATGATGGTGGGCTATATAGCGAATTCCCGATCAAACGGCATATAGCAACAGCCAATGGCGGCCGGGCGTGGGCCGTGAAGCTTGATCCCGGGCGCGCCGCGCCGGCGCTCGACCGCTCGC